TCAGTCCAAACCCCATGGCAATCTCCTCCCACCAGTGATTAAAGGCAGTAAATCAGGGGCAGGTCCTGCGCAGTGTTTACTCTAAGAGCCAGGCAGCTGCAAGCTGTTTGAGGCCCTTGTTTCTTTTTCTGTTTATCACTGTTCCCATGGCGACTGCACCACCATCTCCCAAATGTCTGGAACTTGGCCCTGGGCTGTTTTGGTTACGTACAAAACTTTTTAGCTGCTGCGTCTATCCCGAGCTCACAGTGACTTCACCCAGCGAGGAGCCAGTGCAGCGATGCTGGAAGGGTCCAGCAGAGAAAGAGAGGGAAAGTGAGGCGCAGAGGAGAGGAGTGGAGAGGAGAGGAGGGAGGGACAAAATCAAGGGGTATGGAGGCACTGGGTGGGGGGAGGGAGAAAAGCCAAGAGCATTACATCATTGCTGGAGCGAAGTCAAAAAGGGAAGGACGTGAGTCAGTGGACTGAGTGAACCTCTCTCCGTCTTTCGGCCGCTTTGGATGACAGCCAGGCCCGCTTGTGTTTTAAGTCCCTACACTTGAGTTGGAGTTGGGGACTGGGGTGGTGTGCGCACACTGCAGGTTTGATTAGAACAGAGAGACTTGAGCTCAAGTATGACCACCCTGAGGGGCCCAGAAAAGAGTTATACCAAACTAATAAAACGTAAAAAAAAAAAAAAAAGTTTTCTCTTCCACTTGGAAAAAAAAACATACCAGAAAAGTGACAGTCAAAGGAGAGAGCAGAACAAAAAAAAGAGCAGTAGAGGGGTTCAGGCAGGGAAGAAGATCCAGTAATGATGTCATGGTGGAGTGAAGGTGGGCGGCGTTGGTGGTATGGTGGTGGTTCTTGGGCGGGGATTGAGAAGGAGAGCGAGGCACTCAGTAATGTGAGAGTGCGGGGTCAGGACTGTGGAGTGTCTACCTGCTCCCCCCCCCAGGGCCCTACGGCACAGGCTATTATCAACCCCTCAGCCGAGACTGTTATTATTCACTCATATGCATACGCACATGTTCCCGCAACATAAAGTATGGCATGACTGCAACTAAAAGGTATTTTTGTTGTTGTTTTTTTTGGTTATCTTAAGGGTGTTACGAGCACAAGAACCTACTAACCCACATAAGAAACAAAACAGCGCCTGGAATATGTAGTTCATTAAAAATTACTTTTATGATTGCACGATTAGTCAAGTCCACAAATACCATTACACACAATCTCCTGATCAGTAAGGAAGTGGTTTGTAAATAAAAGCCATGCATTGTTTTATGTGTTAGACTCTCTGAGACGTCTAATTATTTAAACTGAAAAAAGCACAGTGCTGTCAGATGCTAGTGTTGTTTTTCCCTCTGTTCAATTAGCAGACTGTTTTTATGTGAGGTGGTGACAAACACAGACTTGGTGTTAGCCATGCTAACGCCGAGGTGTCTCCTTAGTAAATGACTCAAAGGGGGACTTTCTTTTTCAGAAAGCAAGAGGCTACATGTACCTGCGCTGTGCTCCATTTTAACTTGTGCTATTGTGATTTTTTTCCTCTGGAGTCACAAGAAATTGAAGTCAGGATCAATAATCTATGAAGCATATATTCTTTCATGCATAACTAGAGTGCCCTGCAAGTATTCATTCCCCTTTGTCTTATGTTACATTGCAGCCTAACAGAACAGTGTACTGTTGAAAGTTTACGCGATGGACCGACACAAAGTAGAGCATAACTGTGATGTGGAAGGGAGATGATAGACTGTTTTATGGAATGTTTAAAGAAGAAAAAAATAAATAAAAATGTGATGCGTGTTTGTATACATCCTTCCTGCTATTGCAAGTCTGTTGATGTGGCACCCTTCCAGCTGCACATGTGGAAACTTACATTTTTGCTTCTTCTTTGCAAAATAGCTCAAGGTCAGTCAGATTGGATGGAGAGCACCTGTGGCTTCGCATATGATTCTCAATTTTAGTTAGGCTTGGGCTTTGACTGGGCCATTCTGACACATGAGTATGCTTTGATCTAGTGGTTCTTAACCCTGTAGGGCTGATGGTCCTTCATGTTTTTGATGTCTCTCTGCTCCAGCACACTTGATTCAAATTCTTGCATTTTTCTCCTCTGCATGCCATCAAGTGCTGCAGAAGCCTAAAACATGCAGGGCCGTGTGGGAGGGCAGTGAGGACCAGGGTTAAGAAGCTCTGATCTCCTCCATTCCGCTGTAGCTCTGATTATATGTTTGTAGCTGCTGACCTGCTTCATGGGAGAGGAAAAGTGTTGAAACTGGACTTTCTTTGAGCCTCCTTTCATCCACCAATGACTTTCTTCTTTCCCCCTATTTATAAAGGCCAGCGTACTCCTGAGCTATCATAGGCCTCTCTCCTATGGTAGCCTTTCAGTTTGATAGAGTGCTGTTTTAGTAGGTCTGTGGTAATTCAAACTACAACAAATTTTCTTTAAGTATAGCCAAGAAAATTGCATTTATTTATGTATTTATTTATTTATTTATTTATTTATTTATTTATTTTTAAGTTCTTTTTATTCCACTTTTCAGCTTTGCAGTTGTGTGTTGGTCAATTAAAAATTGACCAACACACACCTGTTGGTTGTGCGGAAAAGTTCAAGGGGTATGAATACTTGTACTTACCTTTAAAAAGGTTATAATTTGACAAGTTAGCAGGACAATAAATCTAAAGAGAATTTTATATATATAGCTGGACAACAATGAGTACTGTAAATAAAAAAAAAGTGCTTCTAGATTTAGAGGATTGTTCAGTCATAAAATTCAAATTGAAGCACAAAAAAAAATCACCACTTAAAGCTATTGCTTTATGTCTACAAAGTATTAAAAATATCATTAGGCGGGATTTTACAAACATACAAACAATTTTTTTTTTTTCACCATTCAAGTGCTGCTTTATCCTCTCACATTTCCACAGTGTTCATGTTGAAATAGTGTAAATGTGGAACCATGCTATGCAGCTCATTGTACTTTCATGACTTTTCCCATGTGGGAATGGTTGGATTCGCTGTGCTGCTCAGGTGTCATAAGTGCTGCTAAATGGGTGTGATTGTGATAAATTGGGATGTTAGACAGGACTGACATGTAGTCAGATGGTAATAGTCCTGTATGTGAATGTGTGTGTGTGTAGCAATCAAAAATGTCTGAGGCATAAATGCTCATTTTTAGGTCTGGAAAAATACAGGTATTTATTCAGGTGTGGGACTGTTTGCTCCACTGCACCCCTCTATTTTGACACCAGTCCTTCACTGCTCACTATTACGGTAAAAAAAAAAAGAAAAAAAAAAAAAAAGGCGATGCTGTCGATTGATTTCTTTAATTCATTCAACACTCCTTGCCTAAATGCTTCTATTTTTTTTTAAATGCTGAAGAAAACTGAGCTTTATTGACTCTTTGAGCAGCAGCATCCATCCTGATGTTACCGATAACTGGAGAATTATTGATTTCGCTGCTGCGGGTTATTAAAAAATCATGCAGAGTGCCGTTTTTAGGCTGAATGTAACTTTACGCATGCACGCGTCCTGCAGCTGGAAATTGATGTTCTGACAAGTGGGGATTTAGTGGCAGTTGTATAAATGATTTGACAGCGTGCAGATGTAGGTAGTATGGCTGAGCCATGCAATTGAGACGTGACTGCTGTCATTAGCTGAAGCTTAGCGCGGGCCTCTCTGCATATTACTTATTGATGTGGCCTCCAGTATTCATTGGCCAGTTGTTGCACTTTTTCGTGGCCACCGAAGAGGATTTTCTCCACAGCTCCTCCACTGCACATCACATGTGGTAGCCGAGGAAAAAAAATATATTACTCACTAAGCATGACGTTCATCTATCCCATGAATATGTATTTTTTTTTGGCTGTGTAAAGTGGATTCAAAAGATGTCAGCAGGAGCAAGCTGAGAGCAGAGGTTCTTTAAAAGACATGAAGGGCTCAATTCAACTTCATGTGAAACTGCATATAATTTACGAGGATATATTTATATTTTTTGTTCCATTTTTGACGTTTGTAAATCTGCTGTCCATTGCAAGTAGCATGATTTGCCAGTATATGTAATATTTGCTAAAAACTGTAGCAGGTCAACTTTTAGGGAAGTGGGATTAGATGCACGTGAGCCCATATTAAAGATTAAACCTTGCATCATATTGATTATATAATGATTACATATCAGGAACCACTAATTCAGATATAGTCCACCACATTTTCTCTTATTTTTTTCTTCATCATGTATGTCTTTTTTTGTTTTTTCGTGAGGTGTTCGGTACTTTTATTTCCCGTGGCTCACTATATGAGCATTTTGTTTATTTTACTCTTCAATGGAGCGCATCAAATGTATGTAAAAATAATTAGAACCAATAAGTGTGTTTAATTTAGACAGTATTGAGAGAGTAATTGTTATAATTGTTTTTTTGGTTGCAATTTTTTTTTTTTGTAACCAAAACTGCACCCTGAAAGTTTATGATCGTGTTTCTAATTATATTTATTCATCAAAACATTGTATTTAGAAATAATTGATTTGGATTTTATCATTTGGATCCTAGAATGTCAAATTTTAAGATGACATTTTTTTTCTCAATTTTACTCTTAGTGCACTGAAAGAAAATTTATCTCTTTGGTTTTATCTACCAGCAAGAAGTTACTTGGAATTTATTTGATCAAAATCTGTCATATTTCATTAGAATTTACTGCCCAACCATTGATCAGATCCGAAATAAATTAAATTAGGGTGAGATATAAATTTTTAAACATGCAATTAGCAAATAAATTCAATTGTAAATGAGATTTAAACTTTTTAAGGATTATATATCTCCACATAAAGAGATAAAACTTCTCAAAAATACTTCTCTGCAAAGCAAAATACATAATCCTTTGGTTGCAGGTACAAAATGGAAACAGGAAAGGACCTAGAGAACTGATGCAGAGCTGGTTTGAAGGATGTTAGACTGCTAGATTACAGTCAGTATAAGAGCACAACTTGATGTTGTGATGTGATGTTTGTGTGTATTTTCAGGCCAGTCCCCGGCTCGCTGTCCTCACTACTGCACCTACGAAACAGACAGAGACAGCCTCTGCCAGCCTCCATGCCTGGAACCCTGCCAGACCCGACCATGCCCGGCTCCTCCGCCGTGTTGATGCCCGTGAGTGTAACGACAGATTACAGTGCATGTTCACTTACTGAGGCCACCTCTCTGTGTACTGCATGTGGGTTTGCTGTTGGGGATGTTTTCTATCACTATTAAAATTACTGCCCTGCAGAGTAAATCAGCTCCTGCAGGAGTGAAGGATTCGTCCTGCGGGTTTAGGCTTTAAACTCTTGTCTTTAAGAGATTTAGAACCACAGTGTGTAACAGAAATAATAACAATGTGCAGAAAGCTCCTCACATCAGGATATAACATATGTTCTCATTGTAACTCAAGACAAGCTGTGTTTATGGTACGGAAAATGTCCCGCCCATGTTTATTAAATTAGGAGCTAAGTGATTTGGGGGAAGATTGACGGTTCAGGAAAGGGGTGCAGGTTTGGGTGATATTTTTACACAAAACACACTTACTGCAATTAAGGTTGTGTGTCAGGTTCTAGACCTAAGTCTCTGCGGACACAGGGTGGAGGAAGGGGCTGCGGCAAAATGATGGTGGGGAATGGGGAGTCATTTCTCTTTGAGACCACCACACCAGCCAGAGAGCTGAGGGGCCAGAGCGCTGTTCACACACACACACACATATATATGTAGACTCTGAACAAAGGTTTCTTCTTTCCTGCTTACATTTCATGGCAAACGCTAGTCATATTATCGCCCTTGCACAGGTGACCTCTCACCCATGTCAGCTTACCCAGCTGATTTCCTCACATTCAGGTCTCAGGTATCAGTCAGAGGCAGACCACGTCATCACACGCTGATACACACCTTAAGTACTGATCATTCTGATTTAATCCCCGATTGTTGCATTAACGCACATTGTGCGTTAATGCAACCGAGTGACCGAGCTTTGATGTTTCACTCTGACAGAAAGTCACGGCGCTATCAGAAGCACACACATGCACATATACATACATGAATATATATTTGCACCGCACACACTCCTTTTGCACTGGCTTCCTGTGTTAAGTCCCTCCGTTCTGGCTTCCTGTTTTGGGTCAGCTCCAGTTATCATCACACAGAGCTGTGCACAGGGGCCAGCCTGTCATGCGAAATCAGGCTCTCACGCTCTCTCATCTCATCCATCGTAGCCTAGTTGGTAAGAGTCTCACACTTTTGTTCCGATGGTGATTTTGTGACATAATCAAGATAACTCACCAACATTTAAAAAAAAGAAGAAAAGAAAACAATTTCAGCAAATGGATGCCACTTTCTTGAGATTGCTACTTGAATAAAATTGTTACAACCATGCAATTTCCTCCACTTTGAAATTTTGCATTACTTTATGTGGGTGCATCACATGAAATCTCAATAAAAAAAAGTACATAACCATAGAGTGAAAAGAATGTGAAAGGTTTTGTAAGTGTGTGAGTAGTTTTGCTTGAAAATACCAGTAAGTGTCTGTCTGTATCTTTATTTTATTTTATTTGAATATCTTTAGATGGAAAGGCAAATGTCCATGGGTTCCAACATGATGGGCATGCCGAGCCCCGCCCACAGCAACTCGTGCTCCACTCACATTCCCTCAATGCACTCCGAAGCCAAACTGGTGAGTATATGTGCAAGTATCCACGAGGATACAAACTGATTTCTGCACACACACACACACACACACACACACACACACACACACACACACACACACACACACACAGACACACAAGTGTTGCAACTTTCTTTTCCACTGGGCTGTGCCAGCAACGCTGTGCTCTCAGGCTTGTGTGGATTTCATCATTCGGTGTGTAATCAAAGCTGAGTCTCAACCTGCCAGTGCAGCGCTGGCGACTCCGGCTGGAATAATGGGCCCTTTATGTGGTTGTGGGTTGCTTGCCCACCGACTGCCTGATGTATATCTTAATGTACAGAACATGTTCTGTAGGTCCTGCAACTTGTTAGCACTAGTTTAACGCTGTGGGGAAAAAAAAATCAAATGACCTCATCCCTCACAAAGCAGGCAGTTACGGCAGTGGGAATGGGATGTGTACGAAGAAGAAGAAGAAGATGAAAGGCTGAAAGACGATTGTGCTTGTAGTTTAAGGAGGCATGGAGGATAAATGACAAGGCGAAAGAGTTGGTGGGAAGTCAATGTGACGTTTTGTTCTTTCATCTGCATAGTCTACCACCTTTACACTTTTAGCTGACTGGATGATTAATGTGCATTCCCTTGGCAAGGTTTTGTACCACAAGAGGGTAAAATCAAAGTTTTTTTAAAAATAAAAATATGATGTGATAGTAGTGCAGATTTGTGAAGCTGAAGGAAATTATATGTTGTTAGCAAAATAGTGCAATGTGTCATTCCCAGTGAGAGAACACTTTGTACAATCACATTTCACCACTAGTCTTTTGCAGGATGTCTCTATTGTTGTTGTTTTTTGTAAAACCTCAACCTCAAATTCGGCGGACAGCATCTTTGATCCTCAAATCTCAGGTCAAGTTATATCATCTGACATATGTCCGGCTTTAAAGGTTGTTGTTCTGCTGTAAAGTGAAACACTGTGCCAGTCTCAAATCTTTTCTCCAGTTTTTGAAATATCCCAACAGCATGATGCTGCCACCACTATGCTTAACTGTGGGGATGGTGTGTTCAGGGCAATGTGCTGTAATAGTTTTCATCACACATAGTGGTTTACATGTTGATCTGAAATAATAATAATAATAATAATAAAATCAACTCCTAATACAATACATTGAAGTTCCTGTTTATAATACGACAGCCAGTGAAAAAATAAGTCTGACTACTTTTGCATTGCACTTTTAAAAATTTTTGAAAAGTTGCCCTCGAGGTGAACAAAACTGTTTATTTCTGTAGCAATGTAGCCAACTGCAAACCTTTGTTTTCTGAATAAATAAATGCATAGTCAAAACCTTTAAAAACAAAAAAAAAAAAAAAAAAATCCCAAGCTATGATGAAAAGCTTTGGCCGGTTTGTAATGTTTGGAGACTCTTGCAGATAGCAGGTCTTTTAGGGGAGAAACATCTTGTAGAGAGAGGAAAGAGGAGGTAGCATGGGGTCATCAGAAGAGTTATTGCTCTGATAGAGGAGAGCGGGAGCAGTCCCAGGGCATTTAATTCTCCCTCTTCCTCCTGCTCTCTCAAGATTGATCGCCTTTGTAGTCTTTTGAATCTCCTCAACCGTTCCTATGGTAACACACTAAGGTAACACAATATTAGTGTATTAGGCTTATCTCTCCTCTGGCCGTCATCCAGACACATCTTACCCCTTTTTTTCCCCTCCTACTATCTGTGTAATTGAATTGTAAATGCTCGGTGAGCTCTCCCATAAACATGTGCTCTCTAAATGGCTGCAGGCCCCCTTAACCGCGCAACTTTCTGGTTTGTTGGCCGTTTGGCAACCAAATTTGGACCCATTGAGATTCTACTCCCTGATGTCTGAACACGACTGATGGAATTCCCTGATTGTGGGCAGAAAGTGAAAGACTAATTGTGTTATCTGGGTGCAATCTCCAGCACAGGTTTCATAAGCATACACCGGGTCTCTAATGTCTGTGATATCCTCGCCGGGCCCTGTCAATAAATACGGCCGTGCTATCGGGTAACTAGGCCGTGATCAGGCCCATGTGTCCCCTGTGACGTTCTCAATCCGGCTCTAATCACATTACCCCGACCATGTTGACTTTCCACCAATTGGAAATCTCCGTACTGTAACCCCACACCTCAGAGGCGCAGACCTGGATGGACTCTTCCTGCCAGCGCTAACACTGGGAGAGCGGAGAAAGGGATTGAGTGGGATTCTGACAGGCAATGTGAGCAATACACACACACACACACACACACACACACACACACACACACACACACACACACACACACACGCAGGACGGGCAAGGGAGACGGAAGGTGAGACGGTATTGACGTTCGGTGACACTCAACAGTGAAAAGCTAAAAGATTTATGTTTCTACAACAAACCTCGCTCCATTTTCCTTTGTCCTTCTTTCGACGTGAAAGCATCGCAACACGTCTGTGTGACCGTTTGATATTCTGCAGTAACTGGAGGCACTGGTTGCAGGGTTATCCCTCCCTTCAGAGAAAGCATGCCCAGAGCATGGGCTAATGAAGGCTAATTGATTTTGTGGTGGGCCAGAGCAGTAGGGAGGACTGTCTCTGGTGTAAATAGTTAATGAGCCAAAGGACTGCTGTGGCCCCTGGGGGACTTGTATCTTGCTCTGAGCTCTCTGTTTGCGCTCTTTGGGCTGAAGACTGTATCACTGTGATTCTTTGTTGTCCAGATTTCAGCCTGTAAGTGCGGTCGTTTAAGTGGTAGAGCACAGCCTGTTGGTGGAATAATCGACACGCCTGCCTTTCCTTAATGCTTCGAGTTGCTTTCTAAGGGCTGGAATGTTTTATTAATCTTGTTTCAAGTGTGTTTTTCCTTCTTGTTTAGGACTGGGTGCTCATGGTGCCGGGTGTGGTTGAATTCTGCTCTGTTGTGGTCCAGGGAATTGAACAGTGCGTGTTGTGTGCTGGAGGTTGTGGGATAGTTGACCCTCGCAGCGTGGAGGAAACACAGTGGAGACGAGGCCAAGTTCCACAGCTTGCTGGCCAAAGCATTACATCACTGCGCAGAGCCAGTTCTCCACGGGGCCTTGCAAACCGCTCGTGCACGCTCGCGCATACATGTCATGCCTCAGCTCTGTGTTGTCGTCGTTTGCTTAGTGACAGACGCTTAAATGGCAACAGACTAACACACAAACAGAGGGAGGAAATCGGGAAATTAAGAAAAGCATGCAGGGAGTGATGAACATGATGAACATGGACAAGTGATGAAAAACTGATTAACTTGTTTTCTTTCTCTCTTCACGCGTAAATGGTTTGATATCTTCAGGGTTGCTCTTCAAGCTTGAAAAGTCTGAAAAGGTTAGATTGTTTTTCAGTTTTTTAGATATTCACATATATAGGGAGAGAAATATGATTCAGCATGGAATTTTTTAAAAATTATTTTGTGAAATTCATATGCTGTTTTCAGATATTGTTTCTGGATAAATTAACATGTCAAAGCTTGATTATTGCCCATAGATCTGTTTCATTTTGTTTCGAAAACAGAAGAAAAAGATAGAGCCTTTTAAAATATTTGTTGACAAGTGAAGTTTGTGTGTGAATCTGTGTTTACACCATCAGTATTGTTTAATAGCCAAGAATATCTTCATCATGGCACCAGACTCAGCTCATGTCAGCAGGACCTTTTTCCAAACAGAGGAGTTTTCCCATTGTTCCTCTGTCTCCTTTGAAAAAGTGCCGTGCTTGCACACATCCTGGCTCGCTTTCTAATTTCAGGCAAGGCAGCCTTGAGACAGCCCTGGTGCTGGTGTATGAAAATGTGTTATTTATTATCTCCCAATTATCTATTGTTTACATTGTTACTAAGGACAATAAATTTGTCACTAAGCATTGGTCTAGGTGCTGAGATTTTTATGTGGTAAACAATACTATATGTTCTTTCAGTGCAGCCTGCTCCACTGTGGAGCTGGCACCAGAATAGTGGATGACATAATTCCTGGCATGCTCTAAATATGCTCCTTTTTACTTGAAGGAGGAAAAAAAAAGGGGGGGAGCTGTTCTTAAAGAAACATTTCATAGCATACAAGAAAACCAATAATCACATTATTGTTATTGATCTAGTCACTTGTGAACAACTCACCGTTCTAATATTTCTTTATATTTGAATAGGAACATTTGGCATTCAGATTGAACATCATCTTAATCTCTAAAGAGTGCGCAAGTAAAGACAGTTTGCTTAAAGCACTGAGAAAGTTAAACTGTGAGCTGTGACACGGCCGTGGCTGTGTCAGGTTTCATTTCAGCTTAGAACGAAATCTCTTGCCAGCAGCTAAGCCATTAGCATACACGGTAACCCAATTACGCCTCCCATTCATTTTCTCCCACACCTTTCGCGGCGCGTCTTCTTGGTGCGAGAAGCAGAAACCTGTACAATTGCGGGCCAACTTTTGCGAGCCATGTCTGCGTGAATGGTGGCATTGTCGGGGTGTGATGTCACTGAGCGGAGACGGTGAGCTAAGAGCACAGCTGAATCTGCATGCTCCCTCAGTGAACATGGACACTGTATGTGTCTGTACGCATGCACATTGTGTGTGCAAAAGGATGCTTGTCAGTGGACTGGCAGCGTCTCTTGGTACTCATTGTCCCGCTAGTCAAAACACAAACGCAAGCATAAGACAAACCCTCATGGTTGCGTATCGGTTTTTGATACAGATCTGCTTTGCGCATATTTGTGTTGGATGTTTCCTGTTGTTGAATAAGCTGCAAGATACTAACTTAGATTTTTTACAGATGTCTTTTTTTTTTTTTTTTTTTTTTTTTTTGCCATGTAGTCAAGTAGGCTTAGCGCCATAAGTCTGCTGGATGAAAATGTCTACGAGTTTATTCAGCTCAGGAAATAAACAATAAAGGAGCTCCACTGATAATGCTTCCGCAATGTTCCCAAGTCAAATTCTGTAACAATAACAGCGTATACAGAAGTTATACAAATGGAGTTTTATGTGCAACAATGAAGAATGTTTATACCCAAGTTA